CGGCACTAACCTGGGTTCTATCCACAGGGGGAAGCACGGGTTTGTGGAGTGGGAGGCAGTGTGTGCGCACGGGCACGCGTAGGCAGCAGGATGCATGTGTGTGGCTGTGTGCGGTTGTACTGTGTGTGTGTGTGTGTGTGTGTGCGCGCGCGCAGTTGTATCTGTGTGTGTGGTTGTGTGTGTGTGGTTGTGTGTGTGGCTGTATGTGTGTGGGGTTGTGTGTGGTTGTATGTGTGTGGGGTTGTGTGTGGTTGTGTGTGTGGTGTGTGTGTGTGGTTGTATCTGTGTGTGTGGTATCTGTGTGTGTGGTATCTGTGTGTGTGGTATCTGTGTGTGTGGTATCTGTGTGTGTGGTATCTGTGTGTGTGGTATCTGTGTGTGTGGTATCTGTGTGTGTGGTATCTGTGTGTGTGGTATCTGTGTGTGTGGTATCTGTGTGTGTGGTATCTGTGTGTGTGGTATCTGTGTGTGTGGTATCTGTGTGTGTGGTATCTGTGTGTGTGGTATCTGTGTGTGTGGTATCTGTGTGTGTGGTATCTGTGTGTGTGGTATCTGTGTGTGTGGTATCTGTGTGTGTGGTATCTGTGTGTGTGGTATCTGTGTGTGTGGTATCTGTGTGTGTGGTATCTGTGTGTGTGGTATCTGTGTGTGTGGTATCTGTGTGTGTGGTATCTGTGTGTGTGGTATCTGTGTGTGTGGTATCTGTGTGTGTGGTATCTGTGTGTGTGGTATCTGTGTGTGTGGTATCTGTGTGTGTGGTATCTGTGTGTGTGGTATCTATGTGTGTGTGTATGTGTGGTTGTATCTGTATGTGTGCTTGTGTCTGTGTGTGGCTGTATGTGTGTGGGGTTGTGCGTGTGTGTGGTTGCGTGTGTGGTTGTGTGTGGGTGGGTGTGTGTGTGTGTGCGCGCGCGCAGTTGTATCTGTGCGGATATATCTGTGAATGTGTGTATGGTTCTATCTCTGTGTGTGTGTGGTTGTATCTGTGTGTGTGCTTGTGTCTGTGTGTGGCTGTATCTGTGAGAGAGTGTGTGTGTGGTTGTATCTGTGTGTGTGGTATCTATGTGTGTGTGTATGTGTGGTTGTATCTGTGTGTGTGTGTGTGGTTGTGTGTGGTTGTGTGTGGTTGTGTGTGTGTGTGGTTGTGTGTGGCTGTATGTGTGTGGTTGTGTGTGTGGTTGTGTGTGTGGCTGTATGTGTGTGTGGCTGTGTGTGGTTGTGTGTGGTTGTGTGTGGTTGTGTGTGTGTGTGGTTGTGTGTGGCTGTATGTGTGTGGTTGTGTGTGTGGTTGTGTGTGTGGCTGTATGTGTGTGTGGCTGTGTGTGGTTGTGTGTGGTTGTGTGTGGTTGTGTGTGTGTGTGGTTGTGTGTGGCTGTATGTGTGTGGTTGTGTGTGTGGTTGTGTGTGTGGCTGTATGTGTGTGTGGCTGTGTGTGGTTGTGTGTGGTTGTGTGTGGTTGTGTGTGTGTGTGGTTGTGTGTGGCTGTATGTGTGTGGTTGTGTGTGTGGTTGTGTGTGTGGCTGTATGTGTGTGTGGCTGTGTGTGGTTGTGTGTGGTTGTGTGTGGTTGTGTGTGTGTGTGGTTGTGTGTGGCTGTATGTGTGTGGTTGTGTGTGTGGTTGTGTGTGTGGCTGTATGTGTGTGTGGCTGTGTGTGGTTGTGTGTGGTTGTGTGTGGTTGTGTGTGTGTGTGGTTGTGTGTGGCTGTATGTGTGTGGTTGTGTGTGTGGTTGTGTGTGTGGCTGTATGTGTGTGTGGCTGTGTGTGGTTGTGTGTGGTTGTGTGTGGTTGTGTGTGTGTGTGGTTGTGTGTGGCTGTATGTGTGTGGTTGTGTGTGTGGTTGTGTGTGTGGCTGTATGTGTGTGTGGCTGTGTGTGGTTGTGTGTGGTTGTGTGTGGTTGTGTGTGTGTGTGGTTGTGTGTGGCTGTATGTGTGTGGTTGTGTGTGTGGTTGTGTGTGTGGCTGTATGTGTGTGTGGCTGTGTGTGGTTGTGTGTGGTTGTGTGTGGTTGTGTGTGTGTGTGGTTGTGTGTGGCTGTATGTGTGTGGTTGTGTGTGTGGTTGTGTGTGTGGCTGTATGTGTGTGTGGCTGTGTGTGGTTGTGTGTGGTTGTGTGTGGTTGTGTGTGTGTGTGGTTGTGTGTGGCTGTATGTGTGTGGTTGTGTGTGTGGTTGTGTGTGTGGCTGTATGTGTGTGTGGCTGTGTGTGGTTGTGTGTGGTTGTGTGTGGTTGTGTGTGTGTGTGGTTGTGTGTGGCTGTATGTGTGTGTGGTTGTGTTTGTGGTTGTATCTGTGTGTGGGTGTGTGTGGTTGTATCTGTGTGGGTGTGTGCGGTTGTATCTGTGTGCTATTGTGTGTGTGTGTGCAGTTGTACTGTGTGTGTGTGCGGTTGTACAGTGTGTGTGTGCAGTTGTACTGTGTGTGTGTGTGGGGTTATA